CTCTGTTCGTGCGCACCTTGAATGTCAGGCCACACAGTAATCTTAGCGGGTACATAGACAGTGACAGTCATCAGATTTGAAAAGCTGTAACTAAAGTTTTTCTTTTGAAAATGAAAAAATAAAATAAAACAAACTGAAGTCATGAATAAGGTGTCTTTTTTTGTTTAGATATTTTTCAGTTCATCAGTAGCCACATGTGAGTGGAGCGGACATTAATTTTCTGAATCAGAGTGTTAGAATTTGCAGCACATTTTCAGAGGAAAAAGAGGGATGTTACTTTTGTTAATCGTACAATTATTTTTCTACCGTGACAGCAAATGTTATCTGCTTTGGGCCAAATATAGGTGAGCATTTGGCCCGCCCTGGACCTGTAAAAGGACCATGGGGTTGTTTTTTTCTTTCTTTCTCCACAACCCGTCAGCATGGATCTGGATAACGGATAGTGACGCACAGGTTTGGGACAGATGTGGAACAAATACAAAACTCTTATTTTATTTTTAGGCTGCTTTGGTCGACCCAGATGGGATCAAAGCCTAAAAGTTTTTTGCAGGTGTCAAGCAGGTTCATCAGCCCGACCCAAAGCTGGCACATWTGTTGTAATAATAATAAAAAAGCAACAACATTCTATAATATTGATTTTGTAAAATGGCAACTCAGGATACAATTGAACCTTACAATTGGACCCAGAAAGTATGTTTTCTGAAGAATGGATGTGAGTAGAGAGACGACGTTTCTGCTGGTAAGATATCTCCCAGTCATCCTGACACATATGTCAATGTTAAACTAATTTATTTATTACTCAAATGTGGTGTAAGCCARCTGAAGAGTAAAGATTGTAATGTAAGTTATGGATGCTAGCTGTACATCACAGATCATCTAGAAGCGGAGCCGCATGTCTGGCAAGTTTTGAGCAGCGCTGTTCAAAGCGGTTTGCATGTTTTGAGCATTTTCTGTGGGTGCGGCATGTCCAAAGTGTCTAACGCTCAAGTTGGAAAATCTGAACTTTAGCTGCTTGACGCATCGCATCAACCAGAGACTCTGCTCAGTGACGTATTGGTGATGGGTCAGAAGTACCGGAAACATGTGAAGTCACAGCTCAAGCAGTAGGTAGTGAAACTCACCAAACTCAGAACACCTCTGAATTATGTTGTGAACCAACCAGTCGTTTTTGTTCTCTCGATTTCCCAAACATGCATGAATGAGTCAAAACAACACTCTGTGTATGTTTTTGATAAGGGAATAACATAAGAAAAACGTAAAGTAGCAAGGATTGGGACTTCAGCTCATTTTTCTGACAGGTTGTTCAAAAAGTTATTTTAACAGGTTATACATTTGTTGTCCATAGATTTTCCACAAAAACCCAATATATTAATTCTAAACTATTGCTTTAAAACACACGTAATTAGTAGTGAGCTAAAGGAACTGTTAAATAAGAAAAAAGAGCCTTTAGGGATCGAGACAGKGAGTTATTGAGGCGTATACAGAAGCAGCTCAAAGCCAAGATCAGAGACAGCAAGGAGGTTTATAGAAGGAAGCTGGAGAATAAACTGAAAAGGAACAATATCAGAGATGTTTGGTGAGGGATGAACATCACAGGTTTCAAGCGAAATGAGAAGTGGATGGATGGAAGTCTGGACAGAGCAAATGAGCTGAACACATTCTTCAACAGGTTCAGCTCAGGAACAAACTCATCTTCCTCCTC